TGCTGTATGCTAGGTGAAGCGCAGGGTGGTCCTTGGGGTGCTAGTGGCATCTGTGCGGTGTGGATCGGGGTTGTGAGTGTTACGAGAGACTTACCTGGTGCTGAAGCGTGCGACATTGGTCGCCATATGCTCGTACTTCGGGAACGCTGTTGATGTCATCATTCTGCTTCGTAGTATAGGYTAGAYAGGATCTGCCACCTGTAGTCTGGGCGCCGAGCGCCAATAGGATATCAACTCTGGTTCGTAGTTGATGATGATGGGACTACTTCAGCATTGTCAATTTTGTGTTCTTATTTGGTGTATCTCGTGATGCCAGTCTGCTGTGGTTCGAGGTCAAGACTATCTGGGCTCATATGTATGATGCTGTTTGATTGCTGAAGTTCGCTAATGCTCATCTTCTTTGCACTATCTACTTTTCTATTTTCGTCTCTTCTCTGCTCTCCTCTTTTCAAACCTTCTCTTCTCTTGTCTTCTCTTTTCTTCTATACCTTCTCTACTCCTCTTCTCTTTCTTAAAAAACTACTTATTATTACTCCTCTTCATTGTCTCCTCTCTAAGACTTACGGTTGTTCTTTTTTTTATCGGTCACTTGTGTTCTGTCAATGGGACACAGAGGGATGCACTTAGTAATGAATTGACATCGAAACCAGTGATTGTGGTGATAAGCTCGACGTTTCTTCTTTTCGTTCCTTGAGAGTTTAGACATACAACTGATCCATCCTATCAGAGGATTTGAACTCGTGATCTTTTTTTCTTTTTTTTTTAACTTACTAACAACAGTTGCATGTATCATTCCAAAAGAATGGGCTGGATTCAACAATAAGCTGTTGCTTTTGATTAGTTTTAAATTTTAATTTGGTATATGTCATTTTTATCTCAACATTGTGTCACCTATAAGAATAAGAAAAGAGAAACAAACAGCTGAGATGCAACTGAGAACGTTTTCGGTTCACCGTACTAAAATGTGATCTTGGACTGTACTAGGAAGATTGTCATGCCCAGCCGGTGATGCCCGGGTACTGGAGAGCGTGCAAAAAAAAAAAAAAAAAAAAAAGGTTTTCTAAATTTCTACACTATTTCAGAGGACCCTAAATCCGGGATCATTTCTTTTTTTGAGAGTTGGCTGCCAAGGGGGGAGAAGGGAGGTATAAATTGGTTTTAAAGGGTCTAAAGCCTGAAGGGGTTTAAAAGAGGGTGTCATAATGTGATTCTGTTATTTTCTTTTTTTATGTCCGATTCTGTGAGGAATTCTCATGTGACCCTCAGCCAAAAGCCATTTGTAGTGCAATTCTACACAACATTTTTTTTCCGGGAATTTTTATTTATTTATTTATTTATTTATTTTATTTTTTTGCACTGGGTCTGCCCGGAACCCTGCCCTGGGCGTCATCCCTGACCAGGCACCCGGAAAAATAGCCTAGATCATGCCATTGGGCAAATAACAAAACCAAGGTTTTGTTGAGTCGAGTGCTAGAGCATAGCAATGGGGAATGGCAAGGCTTTGGACCGCTGATGAGAAATGTAATGCTTCACCTTTTTAACGACTCATGCTGCAGCAAAAGACTGAAACCTGTGCCCTCAATACCTGCATCATCATCAGCACCAATTAACAGGAAAGAGAACACAGCTCTCAAAATCTCTCTCTCTCTCTCTCTCTCTCTCTCTCTCTCTCTCTCTCTCTCTCTCTCTCTCTCTCTCTCTCTCTCTCTCTGTGTGTGTGTGTGTG